CACACACACACACACACACACCCACACACATGCTCCCCAACTCAGGCCCCCTGCTCTGCTCCCCTCTGGAGTTAGCTAAAGCTCTCCTTCAGACTGCATATTTCTGTTTTTTGTTCTGTTTTATTGCAGAGCAGTAAACCCCCTCCACGTCTGGCTCCACAGCCACTGCACCCTCCAACCTCTTGCCTCATTTTCCTCCATTATACTGGGTGGATAGAGGGAGGAGAGGGGGAAGACAGAGAAAAGAAAGTGGGGAAACAGACAGAAAAGGTTGTTCTTATCAGTCTTTTTTTTGTCCAAGTGACTTGCAGGATCAGCCATTAAAAGCAAGAGGTAGCCGGCTTTTTCTGGTTCAAACTGGCCTCTGGACAACAGGCCGCAGTTGGACATCCGCGAGCAGACACACAGGACGCGTCAAAACAGACATTGTGGCTGTTTGAGTCAGAACTGTGGCAACCTACGACCGTGCGGCACTTTGTCGGCAGCCCCATGCCATCCTGTGCCATGCAGCGCCCCTCCTGTGCCTCTGCCCCTCCCCGACCCTTAGGGCCCTGTGTGCCAAGCCTCCAGGTTACCCAGAGTTCACCAGTCTCGCATGGGACGCCATGGAATGCCCCTGGTCTGTCTTCTCATGCTTCTTTCTGCCACCATCCCACCACCGCTGCTGCCAAATTACTCAACTAATTACTTAATTGATAAACGGACTCAGTTTTGAAACGGGTCACTACATGTTGGTCACAGCAAAACATTCACAAGCAGCTCAGCGTCTGCTCTTTCTTTCAGTTTGGACCTGTTGGTTTTTTATGTCACCATTCCTTCATGCTCCATGCTGCAGACTGAGAAGACAATAATTTATAGTCATCTTATTGTGTTTCTCTTTCTGTTTTTCCCGATGTAAGTGCAGTTTTTCTGTGTGAGGTTGATGGGCCATAAAATAACTACACTTGCTCAACACCAACACACACACATACTTTTTTTCTTAAATTCCTTTTTTAATTTAATCAAGAATTGCTCCACAAACTTTTATTGTGGGGTTTCTCTATAATCATGAAGTGGCCTATTTTCTTGCACCACACACCCTCTCTGTCATTGGGTCTGAATTGTCTTGCTGTGGAGCTTTAAACAGCCCAGCTTGAATTTTAAAATAATGATGGTTATAATGAAAATATCTCTCACAGTTGTCGAACTTGAGTTTGTTTCCACACAACATCAATAGTAGTTACTTTCTGCCCTTTTTCAAGTAATCTTCTCAGACTGTTTTTTATTTGTGGGTTTACTTTTCTGTCCAGGAAAGATTGAGAGTGTAAAAAGGCCTGTGTAAGATGGAGGAGGAGAGAAAATAGGGGGGAAAGAAAGATAGAGAGACAATAAACAAGGCTGGTCCTAGGAATGTGCAGGGAGGAGGAGGGAGATGGGGAGAGAGAAGGTGGGGTGGGAATCATCTGATCTGACAGATTTGAGAAAGATGGAGGTGGAAGACAGGCAGGCGGTCGGAGACACGGACGAGATCTCTGCTCTTATTTTCTCTACTCTCCATCTGTTGATCCCCCCTTTCACCCTCCTAATGCTTTCTCCCTTTTTCAGTCTTAAACCCAGCCTCCCCTTATCACACAGCCTCACCCCTCTGACCATCCCCCATGACCCACCCCCGACCTTACACACACACACATACACACACACACACACACACACACACACACACACACACACACACACACACTCACACAAAGCACAAATGAATTCACTGACTGCACCTACCTTAAGCCTTAAGGCTCTGTTTTGGAAAGTCAGTGGATTGCCCAAGGCTGAGTGATGTCATTATGTGTGTGTGCGTGTGGGGTGGCAGCGGGTGGTTGCCGTCAGTGTGGGGGTTGGTGGGCTCATCCGTGTGGTTGTGAAGGCCTTGCAGTGTTTTGAAAGGGGGCATTGTTCAACAGGTCTCGCTCTGTTTGGATTCACAGCCTAATGTTTGCATGTAAGAGAATGCAGAGAGCTGGATGGATGTGGGGGTGCTACCAAGGTGTTTCACTTGTTACACTGGTGCATGATAGTTTAACCTCCTCCCTCATATGCAACATATACATATTTACTCATGAGGAGTCCTCTTCCTTCTCATGCAGTTATTTTTGTTTCAGAGATAAAATGCTCCCCATCTCTAGTGTGAAGCCTTTAAATGCTTCAGAGATAAGAAAGAGGTGCAGTTAGATTTTAAGTGTCAGGATTGTTGGGAAACATTCACATTACATGCAGTTGTGCACTTCTCAAACGGTTTGCACTTTGTTAAAGGTGTCAGATTTACATGGTAATACCCAGTTTTAACACCAGCATTTTCTTGCTCCCGACAGAACGCTCCCCTCACCGGCCCATTCTCCAGGCTGGTCTCCCGGCCAACACCACTGTGCATGTGGGAGAGGATGCCCGCTTTGTCTGCAAGGTCTACAGCGACGCCCAGCCTCACATCCAGTGGCTGAAACACATCACTCAGAACGGCAGTCGCTATGGCCCAGATGGACACCCCTATGTCCGTGTGCTAAAGGTACGTTCCTTCACTTCTTCATTTTCAGTTTATCCTCTTGATTGGAATCAAATTCTTCACTCTTGTTATTGTTTTCTTGGTTTCAGGTGTTTCGGATATATTCAAAGCTCAGACTGGAACTAATCATTACATTTCCTTCCTTATTAGCTGATAGGTCTTTCCCTTCCTGGCACTTGGTGGTGATTCCTGCTGTCTCTTCTATCCTGCAGATCCATATCCAGTAGCTGTAGTCAAGATATTTGCATGCCTGTCTGATTAATAATACGTATTTATTTAGATTTACCATGTTTGAGTCTTGATATGTGTATGTGTGGATTGCAGCGTTCAGGTATTAACAGCTCGGACGTGGAGGTGCTCACCCTCACCAACGTGACCGAGGACGATGCCGGAGAGTATATCTGTAAAGTCTCCAATTATATAGGCGAGGCCAACCAGTCGGGCTGGCTGACTGTCATCCCAGGTAACCCCCTGAGACTCGACTCCATCTACCCTCCTTCCCGGTGTGGTTTCCTGGGCCTCGTCCCTGACCTGCTGTGCTGTGGTGGTGATCCCGCTGGTGGTCTCTTGGTGGTCCTGGGCCTCACTGACCCTCTGTTCCCCCTTAATGTTGGACCTTTTGTGTTTCAGCTGCTCCCTCCACTGTAGAGACTGTGTGCAGCCATGGAAGCACTGCTCGGACCTGCATACCTACACCTTGTCACAGCTAGCGTCTCACCTCTTCCTTCTTTCTTCTCTTTCAATTGTATCCATCTCCACCTGTGTAGCAAGCTGTGTCAAGATGCTGTATGGTGTTGCAGTGCAGTGCTCTCCATGCTCTCTATGTTTGTTTGTGCATGTGACCAGACCAGTGTGGACTGGTCTCTTTTAGCAGGTTCTGTTGGTGATGGGAACCTTTTGGGTTTTTATTTTTGGTGCATTGACTAAATTTTCCTGTGTTTTGGTGGCATACTGGGCTCTATCTATGTCTTTACTTATGAAGCCTCCCCCTAGCCACCCATGGAAACTCCCATAATCCTTTGCTCTAGATGGGAATTCCACAACGGACGTCATCCAGTTCCTCTTATTTCTCTCCTGGTGTTGTGGGTCTCATTTTGTTTCTCTTTCTCTGTCCTCCCTCATCCTTCTCTGTGACTCGTCCTCCCTGTCTCTCTTTTCCGTTCCTTATCTTTGACCCTCTCTTCCTCCTCTTCCTGCTCTTCCTCCTCTTCTCCTCTCCCAGACCGCAGGTGTTAACACCACAGATAAGGAGATAGAAGTTCTCTACTTGCCCAATGTAACATTTGAAGATGCTGGGGAGTATACGTGCTTGGCGGGTAATTCTATCGGGATCTCCTATCACACTGCTTGGTTGATGGTGCTTCCAGGTATATACACTTGAAAACTATCCCCTTCTCCTTTCTCTTTTTGTTTTCTTGTCTAAAACTGTTGGATTATGTAATTGCAATGACCTCTAAGGAAGGTAAACCCTCCCACCGGGACGCTGCTCAAATATCAGATGAACCATCACAGTCATCATCCAAAACAATGTAACATAAGAGCAGGGAGCATATATTCCATAATATTATTGGGATTGGCAAGCTGTTGAAAGCTCAGAGCAGATAACGGGGTAGTTAGCAGAAGACTTATTATAACTCTCAGGCGGAAGTGGAGCTCCCAGAGCAGCTCGAGTGTCTCCAGACTCCAGAAGCAGGGGAGGGTTTGTCTCCCGCCTCCTCTCTTCCCTCTGTAACGTCTCTCTCCAGCTCCTTTGGGAAAACTTTTCAGTGCCACACTTTGGTTCTGCATGTCAAAAAAAGATTTTATCCTCACATGTATTTCACTTACACCTCAAAACGTTTCTCCACCTATTTCCTGGCTCTGATAATTGCCTACTTTTAAGATCCTTATTTCCTCTTGAAATAAAGGTCGAAAGCTAAAGCTCAACACTTGCTTCAAGTTGGCTTGACTTTCTCAATTATCAGGGCCAAACCTCTCACTGTGAATCTCGTGCATGCGAATGTTTGTCCATTTGTGTGTGTGTGTGTTCCCATTTGTCAACTTGTTTTATCCTATTTTTGTCTGTCGCTGTATGTTTGGTCTGTAATTATGCATACCAAAGGATCAGATACATCAAACTCTGTGTGGGAGTCTGCACGAGTTCACTCGAGGCGAAGCAGAACAAATGTTTCTGCGAGAGTTCTGGCCAAAAGTAGAGTGGGCATTAAATGATCGATGAGAGTAGATGAGTGTTTGCATTGCTTAACAGACAACACTCGCTTTATATTGTAATGAGATAATATTATTTTTGTCTGTAAACAATACATCATAATGATCACAGACAAGCCATTTCCTTTGGGAGTAATATGTATTATTTATTGGCCTTGATTTTCTCTATGTGCGCCAGTGGCGCCATCGGGGCTGTTGCTTCATCGCATGTGCTGTGGACCAGCCGATACGAGGCAGACAGGAGAAAGGTTCCTATATGGAGCTTCACCTCCAGCTGGCTGACGGGCTGCTCGGCTGGCTGTGCTGCACAAGAGCCTTGTTTGTGGTCTTGAGGGCTATGCATTATGGAACAGTCCATTTATGTAGCAAACACACACACACATGCACACACACACACCAACTCTACTCATTTCCTCGACAGGAAGTTCAGGCCATATATACATCCATGAAGGACACCGCTCTCCCTTGTTTGCATTTTGAAGTGAAACGCATATTGTTCTGTTGTCTGTGGGTCTGTGTTTATGCTCGCGTATTTTGAAGGTTAGCACAGAGTGCAGACATGTGCGGGCTTGGTTGCACAGGCTGAGTGAAGATTTATTATAATCTGTTCAGACCTACAGTTAGGTTAAAAATGTCTCCGTTGGAAAGAATAGAGAGAGTGGAGGACGCTACAAAATCATTTTGTTTAGTTCGCCTGCCAATCGTGATTATATTAACACCATGAGTCATCTCCGTCAGCATCTGTCTCTGTGTTTGCCTGTCTGATACCCATGTGTGTTCAAATGAAGAATGTGCCTGTGTGTCAGTCATGTGTGTGTGTGTGTGCGAGAGTGATTAACTCTAACTTTCTTTTACTGACGTCCATCTTTATTTCCCTCAGCCCTCGAGAAAACCCCAGGGCCCTTCTCCCCAGACTACGTGGAGATCGCTATATACTGCGCTGGCGTCTTCCTCATTGCCTGCATGGTGGGCATCGTGGTGGTGTGCCGCATGAGGAACACGGCAAAGAAACCAGACTTTGGCGGCCAACCGGCTGTGCACAAACTGAGCAAGCAGATCCCTCTGCGCCGCCAGGTAACAGAAAGTAGATAAAGAGTTCTAAAGGCATCTAACACCCCTAGAGGAGAAAAACACACTGCACTGCAGGCATGCTGCAGAAATACAATGACAGACTGCAAATATACATGAATATAGGAGGGTAATGCTGCAAAATATAATGAAAGCTGCATGGGTGAAAAAACATGTATCACTTGGATTTTAGCATGCAATATGTTGTGATATTTTAAACAAACCACCTCCAGCCTCATTTAGAAGGCATGCAGGCATTTTTAAGGAAGTTAGCACTGCTGCCTCAGAATGCAGCCAGAGCTTTTTTTCTCTGTGTGTGAGCCATGCTTTTCCTTCAATAACTAAAAGGTGCAATGTTGGATTTCATTCTGCGGAGAGACTTGATTCCTGTTTCAAGGTAAGGTTAGGGTGGAGAGATGCCAGATGAGCCTCTGGGACAGAGGCGAGGCTTCTTAATGATCACTAAAGAAAACATTTCTGGCCCTGAGACAGATTCTTCGCTATTGTTTAAGCTGTAAAATTAAAGATAGATACTTGACACATTAATGTTCCATATTAACCAGTAAGAAATACCACAGTCAATCAAATATTCACACGTCTACTCTGACTCCTCTAGTGATGTCTTGGAGCTTTATCTGACCTATGAACCCAGACTGCGGTGATCAGCCAATATTTCTCTTTACTGTAGGTGTCGGCAGACTCGAGCTCTTCCATGAACTCTAGTACGCCGCTGGTACGCATCACGACACGGCGGAGCTCGGCGCACGACGAACCGATTCCTGAGTACGACCTTCCTGAGGATCCACGCTGGGAGTTTGCCCGAGACAGGTGAGTGACGTGCATATATGTACTTGTAATTTATGTTACAGTGAAACTATACCGCAAAAAGAAAATATGAAAACATGATAGGTTTTCTACTGGTTTTACTGACTTGTGATCGATTTCTAGCGCTACAGAAGTGATTGTGACCTTGTCCTGATCACAAGTCATTTTATGAAATGCATAATACATAATGTGAACCTGATTCAGCTCCAGCTTGAAGTCTTTAAAATGCTGATCTGCTCCTCCACTTTCATCTGATTATCAAAGAGTTATTTCTAAAACTCACTCATATTGAAATTCAAGGCCTGCATACAGTGACTGTTTGACAACTGTCAGTGCTACACCCTTGTTCTTTGTCTTCAACTGTCTTTGGTTTAAAGGTGCATTTCAATAGTGGATAACAGCAACATTAACACGATGAGCATCTGTTTGTTTGTATCTCAGCTGCTAAATGATCATATTGTCGTTGATTAAGAGTGTGATTAACACTGATAGACAGCAGACAATCATAACTACCCAGTGAATAATGGCTGTGGTGGCTGCTGCTGTAGTGAAACGACCTGAACTTGGCACCCGGCCCCCTCCTACCTCCCTGTCTCTTCATTACAACCCCTGCTACATCACACTCTCACTCACACACACAAATGCTTCTGATGACGAGCTGTGCTAATTAGTGGTTTGCAACTCCCTGCTTTCATCTGCATGTTTGGGCGAGGAGTGTTTGCTCAGTTTCATACCAGAGGACTTAGCGCCGCTGAGGTTTCGGTTAGTCACAGTTGCAGTGGCCAGTGATAAGCTTCAGGCTGGATTTAATGGAACAGCGAAGGTTATGGGAGTTTAATACCCACTTGAGGCCTCTGGTTTTGAAAGACAAGGGGAAAATCCCAAAGCATTAACATGAATGTCTGTCTTTTGTTAAAATGGTTGTAAAAAAAAAAAAAGAGCTGGGATCATAAATTTTATCATCCCTCATCAGTGGAAAAGAAAAATCTATCCCGACTCTGCGCACATGCAGAACGGCATTCTGGTGAAAAGATTTTGATTTTAATTGATGAACCAACCGAAAGGGATGTTTTGTCTAGGCTGAATACATCTCTGTGTTTGGGATTTATTCCTCGCCTGTCATCCCAGCGCCTGAGGGATCATGTTGGGATTGCAGAACACAGAGGAATGCTAACGTTTGCGGTTTGCGCAGAGGAAAAATAACATTGATTATGTGTGGCTGGACAGACAGAATGGTTGCCATTGAGCGTGGCGAGCTTGTGCGGACAGATAGGGGATTGTGTTACTATGGCAGGGCGCCGGCCTCAGGCCCTCGGCTTTGCGGTGCGCAGTGTGATTGTTTACATAGCCAGGATACTAAGCCTTAGGGATGGGACCAACACCTGTCAATCAAATGAAAAACACCAGGGAACACTAACTGAAAGGTCAAGTAGGCATCCCTGTGATAGATTATTGCAGTGATAATTGTAATAGTGAAATGAAGTTTGGACATTAAGTTTAACACACCATCTATTATGACATTAAAATAGTACTTAAAATTTCCATCTGGCACTGAAGTCAGACGCACCTGTATGGAAACACAAAGCCAGAATTCCATCCATCACAAGCTAATGTGTTGGGGCTAAGCTAAGCCCTGTGTAATGACTTGTAAAGAGTGTATATTGGATGGCATGCCAGGGCAGGGTAAAGGGTTTATAAATGAGAGCCTCTTGCTGGCTTTATCAGGTGATTATCTTTGCCACGTCTGCCTTCCTACCTACTGCCCTGGCACGGGTTGCAGTCACTGCGCCAATAAAGCACTCACACAGACACAATCTGATTGAAACAGAGGGAGCAATCGAGTAAAAAAAAAGACAGGGTGAGGTTGAGAAACTGGCTCTGTGCCTGGTTTCTTTCCCTCTGTCACTCTTACTCTCTATCTAACCTGTTTCTGCACAGTTAGGGAATCGATGTCACAGTCAGAGTTTTTAATCGGTGATCAGGCAGCTAATCAATCTGTTTGTTTTTTTGTGTGTTTCTCTCTGTGTTGCTGTCTCGCGGCTGCAGGTTGACCCTGGGCAAACCCCTCGGTGAAGGCTGCTTCGGCCAAGTTGTAATGGCAGAGGCCCTGGGCATCGATAAGGACAAACCTAAGGAAGCCGTGACTGTCGCTGTTAAGATGCTGAAAGGTAAGTGGTCCTTGTCCCGGTGCACAATCACACTGAGGCTGTAATGGTAAACGTCGGGCTTGTGTTTAACATCACACCAGTGGGATGAGATATATTGTACACTGCTTCGTTATGTCTTATGGGCAACCTGAGTAGATGATTTATCCTCCAGTCAGGGTTCAGAAAAAAAGGGCCAGGCGGAGCCCTGGGCTGCCATTATTATTTGTTATTGGTGGCTGCTGAGTGACGGCTTGGGGGAGCGAGTTGGGTAGGTGAGGGTTAGGGGCGGTCACATACCTGACCTCAGAGCAGCAGCTGGCTGGAGCTCAGTCAGCACCCACACAAAGAGGCGAGTCACACCAGCAGCACTGGAGTGATTAATGAAAGCAGCAGGAGGGGGCGCTGGGTTGGTTTGAGGTTGGTTGGGGGGTGAGATCAGGTACAGCAGCAGGCCACTGGACCCACCTACACAAGGGAAAGAACCACTTCAGGTAAGGTAATGGTGCACAGGAATGCAGGCAATGCTATTCTAACTGTAGCGCCTCAATCAGCCCCATTAAAAAGTAGCCAGTGCAGCAGATAATGAATCCAGATTGAGCTTCTTTAATTCCTCCTCCCTCCTCCTGGGACTGAAAGGATGTCTCTGTAGTCTGCATGAAGAGCTTCCCTCACTCCCCTGCCGTAACTTTAGCCCACATTGTCCTTCAGCCACACTTATTCAGACGCTCCAACAAAACAGGGTGTTGTCTGAATTGCCCCCTAGTCCAGAGTCCAAATGGAGAGGTGTGTTTGTTTTTGCGGAGTTTGGTCTGACAACTCTCATCCATCTTCTTCTGTTTCTTAGATGACGCCACTGAGAAAGACCTGTCTGACCTGGTGTCAGAGATGGAGATGATGAAGATGATCGGCAAACACAAGAACATCATTAATCTTTTGGGGGCCTGTACACAAGAAGGTGAGTAGCACGGGACATATTCTGCCGAGTTAAAATTAGGGTTGGGAAGTTTCTGAAACATGTTCTATCGAATTTGTTGAAATCCTCTTCACATTCCGACAGCCAACAACAAATAACATTGTCTGGTGAAATAAGTGTCTGTGGCCCTTGCAGGAATGTAATAAACACAAGCAATTTGTCACAAACTGACGTTCCCGCTCTCAGTGACGACGTGCAGAGATGATAGCCTGACATTAGCAAGCGAGTCACAGAAAAGTCGGACTCTAGCAGTGGTCAGTCACTGCACTTTCATATGTTTGATGAGAGGGCTGACAAAAGAGAAGAAGCTCTTCCTAGCTTTTCCAGGATTACCAACCATAGCTTTAACTCTACAATATTATACTAAAGGTTGCTGCATGCTTCAAACACGTTCATGAAATGTGTCATCAGACCACATCAGACAGTTCGTGTATGTCAAGGTGCTTTTGCTCTTTGGACAAAGCTAGAAGCCATTTGAATGTCATGTAGTTGGATTTTAATTAGATGTGAAGAGTGGAAAAAGAACAGAAACAGAACAGAAGAAACATTTTCTTAACATTCGAAAGAGAGGTGTCTGTTCTTTATGTATTCCATGCAAATTTCACCCTGAATTTTGTTCACTGCCACTTTCTCTCAAAGGGAATAATTTATAACCGTGTTCAAAAGGTAATGTGAGTCTTTTCTCCACTGCAGGCCCTCTCTATGTGATAGTGGAGTACGCCTCCAAAGGCAACCTCAGGGAGTACCTCCGAGCCCGTCGGCCCCCTGGCATGGAATACTCCTACGACATTGCCCGCGTCTCAGATGAACAGCTCACTTTCAAAGACCTGGTCTCCTGCACGTACCAGGTGGCACGGGGCATGGAGTACCTAGCATCGCAGAAGGTAAGGGGACGACACACGCAAACACTCAAAGTCCTGTCCTCACTCCCCCTCTGCAGGCAGTCCACACAGTGTTTTGATGTGCTGTACCCAGGGAGTTTTTTGCAATGGAAGCTTGCTTGTGCATCACTGTGGGAATATTGTCTCCTAAAAACACTACGCTGACCCTCTGCCCAATCCCCACATTGTCTCTCATTCCACAACAAAAGCCCTTCTGTGTGGAAGAATTATGAAGTTCTCACAATGGGGGTACGGCCATGTTGGCCAAACGCAGCCTCACGCTCCCCCTCACAGTTGGAATGCGACAGAGCACATGCATACACACACGCACACACATATACACGCTTGCACATGTGCACTGATGCACACACTCCACGCCGTTTACAGTATGTGGCAAAGTATGTGAAGAATCTTTACTTATTCAGACATGTTCTTGTTGGTGCAGTCGCTGTGGCGTCATGTTATTCAGTCATGTGTTACCGCTGTGCAGGATATTTCTGCACAATTACTTGCACAAACATTTTAAGACCATTCAAATTTAAGTATACACCTGTGTCCGAGTTGATTTATTTATTGAATGAGGTAACTGTCTTATTCTTCTCTTCCCCTCACTTTTTCCACCCTGTGTCCTCCTCACCTCTTTTGTCTCCTCTTGTTTTTTTTGCCTCCCCCCCACTCATTCCTCACTCTCTCCATACCAGTGTATACACAGAGACCTGGCAGCCAGGAATGTCCTGGTCACAGAGAGCAACGTCATGAAGATTGCTGACTTTGGCCTGGCCAGGGACGTCCACAACATCGACTACTATAAAAAGACGACCAATGTGAGTCGCCGACCCGCATGCTGCACACTGAGGGATGGGCACTTTGAGGTGTCTTTGGGAGGCGCAGTGTGAGATTAGACCACCCCGCTCTCTCTCTTTTGCGCTGAATCCCTCATCTCTCTGTTTCACTCTCTCCCTCGGCTGGTGTCTTGGCAGAAGCCGCGGGTTCCCAGGCAGCCTGTGAATGTAGTGCTTCTGGAGACTCTGCCTTGTTTATCCCTCAGTCTCTTGTTCCTTTGCTTCCACAGACACTTATACAATTAGCCAGCGAGAGAGCCAGCGAGAGAGCCAGTGAAAGAGAGAGATTGAGTGAGAAAGAGAGATAGAGGGGAGCGGCTTAAACACAATTGTCGTCTCTGCAGTGTCTATATTTCCCACCGTAGAGCAGCGCTGCCTGCACATCCTCATTTAGCATGCATGGTTTCCTTTTCATCATCATGCTGAGAACTATCTGACAATAACAACAACAACAATACGCAATGATGTTGCTGGTACTGATGATCAGGAAAATGACAGCAGCTAAATGATGATCACTTGTGTTAAACCAGTCATGACAGAGCTGTCATTGTGGTGCCACATTTCTTCTTCAATCAAATAGGAAAGGGACCATATTAAGTGATCATATTATTGTCATATTTCTCTGAGATAATTTATTATGCAATACGAGTTCAACTTGTTGCTCATTCATATTTACAGCAGCCAAAAAAGATGTATTTAGATGTTGCTTCTTTATAACTGAGAGTGTGATCGTTCTTTCCCGTAGGCTGCCACACAGATATTGATCATGTGCCCTGTGAGCCATGCTTAGCTTCCCAGCCAGTGTTTTAATGGCACATGGAGATAAACTCTCTTTATCTGCGACCCTGTTTATCAGCTCTATTGCATTAACAATCTAAATGTTCCTCTGGGAAATCCTCCTCCCAGACAGGCTCTATACTGCTGGTGCCTAGTGTCGTATTCCCCAGGCTCTCCCGGAGTAATGAGATCTTTTAGCAGTAAATGAATTCAAATATGCTGAACAGGACAGAAATGAAGGTGTTCAGAGGTAGTGTGTGTTTGTGCCTGTGTGTTTGTGTGTGGAATTTGGCTGATCCTTCACGTCTGTGTGTCCTCAGGGTCGACTTCCGGTAAAATGGATGGCTCCAGAGGCGCTGTTTGACCGGGTCTACACACACCAGAGTGACGTGTAAGTATTCTAACAAACTGCAACACACCTGTGATGAAAAATAAATCTTATCCAACACAGTAAACTATCTATTTCATGCTGTTTGAGATTGAACGTGGAGCCCAGCGGGTTTCTTGTAGCCTGCAGTCAGATTCAGAGGATTGTTTTTCAGGAGTGGGTGAGGTGTTTTTGGTGCAGTGCTGGTAAATGTTAGATGCGAGGGGGTTGACTGGTTAAAAGGGGCCAGTGCTGGCCAGTCTGTGGCAAAAGTGAGGATTTCACGCTAGACTTGTAGTCAATGCTGTGTTACTAATCTGACCAGCTTCAAAGGGCCTGGAAGGAGCCCAGAGCCCACCAAGCACCTCCTCTCCCACCACCTCACCCCTCGCTCCTCCGGCTCGGCTCGGAAGTCTCCCCTCCTTTTAGGCCTCCACACATGTATAAATGCAACAATACGGCAGCGCCTCCAGCCCAGGCCTCGCTCTCCTTACAACCACCCCCTCAAACTCCCCCTGCCAGCCATCCCGTCTTCACTCTCCTCTCTTCATTCAGCAACACTTTGAACATGAAGCTCATCGTTTTTTGGAGCTCTTCCATGATCAAAATAATCCCCCCTCCCTCCTTTCACCCCATCGTTCTTAATTTCATTCATCTGCTATGTGAATTGCTGACCCGTCTCTGTCCCTTTTTTTTTAAAGTTGAAGAGCACTCATTCTAAAAACAGAACAAAGGGAAAGCGTCCCTCTCTTTTTGGTGTTTGAGTCTTATGAATTCTGACAGTGTTGTTTGAAGTTTCTGCTCCAGACACTGGCGGCAGAAAATGCATGTGGCAATTAGATAAATGCCTTACATGTTGACCCCTGGGAAAGGAGAATTTGTGTGTGTGAGTCATACACCAGTAGCACACAGAATCTAGCAATCATCCAGTTAAGGACTTGGATAGAGAATATCTGCACTGTCCATGTATGTGTGTGTGTGTTTGTGCACATAAATAATATGTGTACGTACACACGATGCCCTTCATGTACCTTAGCACAGCACCAATCAATAAACTGGGGGAGTGCAGGAGGCAGGAGGCACCAAGTGGCTACTGTAGTCCTTTCTCTCAGCTCACTGCTAATTATGTTTCATCACTCACTTTTAGTAATTGGCTTTTTCACGTGGCATGTGAAGGGAGAAGGAAGATGAGGAGAGGTGTTGGGCCGAGTGGGTGGGATGGAGGGGGGGTGTTCTCATGCTCAAACATTACCAGAGGCACAGGCGATCCATACATGACATCAGATTAAATGAATACATGAATTCCAATGAAACCCCTGTTGGACAAATGGACCCCGGAGACTCAGCTCGGGCTGGCGTTAAGAGTTAGGAGTTGTCGCTCAAGCCCAGAGACACAGAGTCATTACCAGGCTAGGTGGTGGGGGGGTCTGATCCCTCCCCATCACAGAGAAATCAAAAAATTCCTTCAGCTCGTACACCACGTTCCAGAGCCTTGAATCATTGTTTGATCAGATTCACTGATGCATGCACATGTATCGAGTGGTTCTCTGACATTTTATATTCATGTTGCTTTTCGAGTCAATATCATTAACTTCAGCACAAGGAGAACACCCTAATGAACAAGATATATGAGCGTAATGAGGTAAGACTCATGTGAGGTTGAATGCCAGGCCTATGAAAGTGACCCAGAGCATGTTGGCGTGCGTGTTTATTTGGCGTGTCACAGTTGGTTGCAGGTGCACACAAAGCTGTGTCGACAGGTTGACGAGCGCTGAGAGACACTTACGAAGTAGCACAGAAAGGAGAGATGAGTATGTCAACAAGCGGAGAGATAAAACCCTATGATAGAGGCCAGACCAAACCCTGGGCCTGGTTGTGTAAACAGATGGACGAGCTGATAAACAGCCGACCTGCTTGTCCATGCCGACTTTGCCTGGCTGGACCACTAACGTGGCCCGTGGCTGCCTTAATGTGCGTGTGCACATTCATGTTTATAAATGTGTCTGTGTGTTATAATTTAGCCCTTTGTGTGGACCTGAATCAATCGTGCTGTCAGGGCAGAAATGATTCATTTGTAACCCTCTGGGTCTGTGATGTAAACATGCAGCATAGTCTGCAGCGATGGAAAATCCGTGGCATGGAATCGTTGATATTTAACTACCGGATCCTGCTATGAGGAAGTGGTTAATAGTTAATATTCACTGGCCATAACCGGACCTGTCCCTTTTATTCTGCTGTGGGTGGTCTACTGTTTGTTTTGGTGTGGTGTGACCAGACAATGGCAGCCTGTACGACCAGCCAGCCCGGCAACAAAAGCCAGCATTGAGATCAGGCCCAGAGTGGCACTGGGAGTGGGTTTGCGCCACAAGCCACCGGACGGCAGAAAGAGGGCATTGACACCACTGTTCTCACACTGTTGAAGTTGTTTCCAAACTGTGGTTCAGTAACTCTCTGTAAGTTATCTGTAGGTTAAAGGAAAGTGACACTCATCAGGGCTAATGTTATTTAAATTACGCTGGAAGCTCTTGAACGCTACTTACACACCAATCCTTCTGTTTCACTGTCATTCTTTTCATGTCATAAATTGAATATTAATGTATATATGTTTGTTTCTCTCTGACCAGCTGGTCATTTGGGGTGCTGATGTGGGAGATCTTCACCCTTGGGGGCTCGCCCTACCCTGGCATTCCCGTCGAAGAGCTCTTCAAGTTGCTCAAAGAGGGCCATCGCATGGACAAGCCTGGCAACTGCACCAACGAGCTGTAAGTGTTGTTCATCTGCGCCAAACTGGCATCTTCCCGAACCGAGCTGAGACCCAAACACAGACTCGCTCTTACAACGAGACTCGGCCCCATCCCAGTCTCCATCAGATCCATGACTCTGGGGCTCTGTGTCCACTCTGTCAGAGGCTCTGCACAGCTGTGACTGGCTGCTATCAGTGTCTTCATTCACAATCTGTTGGACAATGGCACAGTTCTGCCATGGTGCTACACTGGAGAACAGAGTAGAGCAGTGAAAAGAAGACAAAGCACTGGAGGTGTGTTTAGCAGCAGTCTGTCAAAATGTGAGAAAGTGAGAGATCATTGATTCAATATGGAGACTCCTGGGCCCAGAGGTATAAATCATTCAACAGATTTAGAAACGTGAGGACAAGGTAGACGAGGAGTGCCGCAGCTTGAGTTTGGACAAACTGAATAAAGCCTAAAACACTGAATTCTGTCTCCTTCCATCCATTCATCTTCTTTGTTTCAACTAATACTAATCTTATTTCTGTCAGGTACATGATGATGAAAGACTGCTGGCATGCCATCTCCTCCCAGAGACCCACTTTCAAGCAGCTAGTAGAGGATCTGGATCGCATCCTCACCCTCAACACCAACGAGGTGAGTGCAGCTCTGTTGTTCTCCTGCGAACAAAGTTTTATTCCGTGAGGTTCCAGGATTCAGGGTGGTCAGGAACCATGCTACGCAAACAGTATAATTTCCTGGCAATGTCCAGTATTTCACAACAGTAAAACAGAATAATATGATACATTCCTACAACATGTTCCTCAATCCAAACCAAATCACACTCCTGCCAGGGCCTGTGGGGTTCAGCAGAATTCTGCTGAAAGCTCAAGTAGCATTAGCAGCCATGTTGCTGACACGAGGTCTAAATGGTGGCCGAAAAAATGGCCAGATGATTTGATCCAGGCCAACATGGCCCAGTGAAGTTTCCCAATCATCACATCCATGCCTCGCTTCCTATAATGGCCAGTGTTTCTTTCCATTCCCCGTCTTGTCTTGTGCAATATCCGCGTACCGAAGTGAAAAGAGGCCGTCGATGGAAAGCTGTCAGGGCTCGTCGGCTCCAGAGCTGGAACTTCATGAATTTATAAAAAAGTCCAACATTGAGCTTGAACATTTGAAATGGAATAAAGTGGCTTTTTTCTTGTCTTTCTCCTCCCCCACTCCTTTCCTCTGCCCCAAACCGCTGGCAGATGTTGTACGTTTTTAGTAATGTGAGCCTCCTCGTGTGTAGTTTGGAAAATGGAAGCCAGTGCTCATTTTCTAGAAAACCCCAAAAACTCTTCTTCCTCACAACTATTCCCAAAAACAGCCATGAAAGACAAGGGAGGAAGAAAGAAAGAAAGAAAGAAAGGGTGCCTTAGCCGACATGAAGACCAAAACAACTTAACAGCGCTGGGTCGAGTCAAAAATTAATAACAGGATTTCTTGGGGTTTTCATCTTCCTTCAACTTCATTTTTTGGAGTTCAGAGCTGTGCTCTGCCAGTGCCTTTATTTCTTCCAGCCCTCTCACTGCATTTATGTCGGGCGTTTCAGTGTCAGATGTCACATTGGTTTGGATTGAACTTGAGTGATGTGAGGGGATGCTGTAAAGGCCTAAACGTCTATATCCTCTCGTCCTTAACTTCACAACCACATTAAACTGTTGTATGGTGGACCAAAACCGCAATTAGGTCAACCCTGCTGTCTTCATCCTCCACTGGATCAGTCAGCGATCCAACATTCAATCTATGACTTATTATCCCTGCAAATATTTTTTCATAGTGTCTAGTTCAAGATTATTTTCTCTGCTCCGTTTCATAAATCCTGTCAGGGTGATTTTCTATGATTTTAAGATAAATATCATAATAAAGGTGATACCTCTCTCGCCCTCCTCTGGAAAGTCCCTGTTCTTGTTGACTAGGTTTCACCTCTATGTTTATGTTCTTTTGTTTGCTCTGGGTCTTTTGCCTCTCACTACTTTGAAGCATTTTTTCCCGTTTGTAACACATGAGCTGGTGTCTGAGTGTAAAACGACTCTCTCTCTCCCTGTGTCTGCAGGAGTATCTGGACCTGTGCGCCCCCACAGAGCAGTATTCCCCCAGCTTTCCCGACACTCGCAGCTCCTGCTCCTCCAGTGATGACTCTGTGTTTTCCCACGACCCGTTACCGGACGAGCCCTGCCTCCCCAAGTACCAGCACATCAACGGAAACGTCAAAACATGAGCCCCACCCCCAAAAAACACTCTACCCCAAAACACCCCAAAACACACACAGCACAGACCCCTTCTCTGACATGCACCCAACCTCCTGCCCCCCCATCACCCCCTCTGGCTCCCAGTGGACTGAAGGAGAACCCAGACGGGACTGGGCCGGTGGCAGCGCTGCTGTCACAGACTCACACTGCCATGTGCACACACCAGACATTACACACTACACACATGGCATGCTCACACGTGGTCTTAAAGGAGAGGACAGGGACCCTGCAGAAGCTGGTTGTTTTTTACTGACTGAATGAACTGACCTTAGCCGGGGACCCTCCTCCTCCTCCTCTTCCTCCTCCCCCTTCATGTAAATACACAGACTTTTCATTTTGGTTCTCATGTTTGTAACCAGAGAGGCATTAACTTGTTTGGTGATCCCATTCCAGTGGCTGGCATTCCAAGACTGTTGTTTGCTCCTGGAGGAATGTACATGGATCGACGTGAACTTAAAACAAGGGACAAGAGGAGGAAGACGAAATAGGAAAAAGGACTGAGAGACAGAGCTCCGACTAACAAAACAGAGGAGTAGGAGGAGAGCACATATAGAAACTGCTCTCCTGTTTATTTTGTAATATTGATGCATTTTTTTTCACTTCTCTTGATAAACCTTCCCAATTATTCTGGAGAAAAATAAATACACAGTATAATGTATAGTGCTGGGTATATTTGTAAATATATTCAAATATGTATAAATATATATTATATATTTACAATGAATTATTTTTTGTATGGACTCTGAAATAACCCAATCCCTTCCTACCTTAACATTGTGTTTGAGGCAGGAACGCTAACAGGTTACGTGTACGATACTTCTCTTCACACACACACACACACACACACACACACGCACACACGCGAATACACACTTTAATTTACACAAACACCTGTCTTACTTTCACTCAGTAACACAGTTGAGTATTGGCTTTCAGGGACTGAGGTAGCATGTTAATTTATTGACTTATGTGTTTTTGAAATGATTCAAAAGAAAAAAAAGTTTTGGAAAAAAGAACAAAAACAATGTGGCAGAAATGATGACATTAATGATGCTGACAATACATAAATAAATAATACATTAAATTTATGGTAATTTAAAATGATCTTTCAACAGTAACAGAGGAGAATGCTATTTTTAGTAGGTTTGAAAGATCCAGGTTTTGTAAGTTTATATATGAATGTGAATTTTAAGTTAAATTTTTAAAAAAGTGTACATTTTATAGTCAGCTAATCCCTTTTTTTCTTATGTAGATGTTGATACACTTTCTATCCAGGCATTTTACTCTTTCTTAGCTTTTGCTTTAGGAAAGAAGGTTGATTTCTGGATATTTATGTACGGTTAAAAAGGAAAAAAAAGATTTTTGGGAAAAACCTACAAGCAATCCGCTCCCTCATTTAGACTTAAACATAGACTACAAATTCACTTGACAGAATTGAAAGCTGAAAAACAAAGTATTAAATCATTCAAGTGTTTGTTGTTTTTTTTTTCTACTGGACCAACTTTAAGATGTTTTTTTGCAAGTGTTTATGGCACATTTGCAAAATAAATGATGGAAAAACATATTCTTGTTCTCATCCCTGACTGTTGGAAGTATCGAGTGCCATTTGGCAGCGAAGAGGCAGAGAATTTGTTTTATTGTTATGAGTTGAAAGAATGTGTTATCAAACTGCACTTTCCTCTGCAGCTCAATTTCTTTTTCTCTGTATTTGATATGGGCAGATATGATTTAGCTGTCGTTACTGAGTATTTAACTTGTTTCTATGCTTTTATTGTTTACTTACCATGCAAGAAGAAACATTCTCCACCATATCTGCAATTATTCAGAGAAATGAATATGCAGGGCCTCAGTAAGATGGCAGGACAGAGCCAGTTTCTCTAATTTTCTAAAAGGAGTGTTGTCGTTTTACATTAAAACTACTCCAGCTGCCCTGATAGATCGAGTCTTCATACAGAACTGCTGAGCTCACTACAAACACAGTGAATGTGATCGAGTTAAGATCCTAACTTTGTGCCAGTGGTCAAAGCAATTTTGTTAATGAACGGGGACCTCATCATTTTAGTGATAGTGTGTCTGTGTGTCCCGAGTTGTCCGACCCTGATCAGACAAAGAGTCGTTGTCCGTCTCCTGGTAGACTAAGAGGTGCTCTGATTAGCTGATTGATTTCCCTATTTTCTCTTATCACAACAGACTTAATTCAACAGAGTGACTAGTTGATTTATCTGATTTGATGTAAGTGAATCAAAGTTGATCTATTAGCACGTGTGATATACAGTGGCGGCCGTGGATGTGGTTGTATTTAGTAATGGCGTTACATCTTGCGATGATGATACGGCTACATGTAGGTCATGACATCAGAGGGAGAGTGTTTGAAGCATTGGACACCTCAACATTTTGACGTAATGATGTTTCTTGATGAAAAGTTAATCAGAGTTACTACAGTCCTGTGGGGGACATGAATGTCTGGAGCACATTGCTGGATCATCTTACTAAGATCAGTACTCTCTCTAGAAGTAGCATGACTAAAAACAAATTGTTGGATGGGTAATGATTGCGTAGTAGTCTGAAACAAACATTTTTATCTAGAATGTGTTGCTGTACATTCAGCCCAGTAAAAGGGAAGTAACAACATGAATTCTGGACGGGCTGGGCAATAAAACAACATCAACAATTAACACAAATCGCAATATTACTAAATATATTCATATATACATAATTGATCCACCTTAGATTTGCAAAATATTGTAAAGTGTTTGTTATTCTCTGACAATAAAGACCAGTTAAAACCACAAACTTTACTCAGGAGAATAAATCTGTCGTTAAACTTAAAAGAAATCATAATGTGACATTTATCAAGATAATTACCAAGTGATAAGAACAATTTTATCTTGATATCATTTTTGGCCACAACACCCAGCCCTAGGTCCTGGCAAAGGTGAGGATATTAGGTTTAGAGTCTTTAACATAAACCTGGATCCCCTCTCATACCAAGCTTCAACTTGTTCTGAATAAACATACAGTCTTCCTCCAATAGACGTGCCCCCTCATGTCTCCGGAACCTGGAAAGGGCTTGGAGGGGAAAATCAGAAAACATTCCTCTTTTTCCATAGAATATGAGGGGGGGGGGGGGCAGCTACAGCCCTGGAGGATTGGAGGAGGATTTGAAAGAAAGAGTTGCAGGATAAACCACAGCTCCACACACACTCATTAGAGGGGGAGCAGAGAGAAAGGCAGCCGGATATCCACACTGACTATTGCACACTTCTATCTATCAGAACGGCTGTATATTGTGCTGTAGGTGGAGACTGACACACACACACACACAGGCAGGGAGGAGTGATCTCCGAGGAGATGAAGAAGAGGATTACATTGTTTCATCTTGACAAAATTCCCCCTGAGATTTTTGTGCATTTCTGGGAAACAAATGCACTTTATCCGATGTCAGTGATGTGACGCAGAGGATCATAATTTAGAGCTCGCTCTTTCAGGGGGGTATCACTTTGATAATGACGTAGAGTTGTAATAAATAAATGGATGGCTTACCTATGACCTCAGTCATTAGTCAGTGATCATGTGAAAACAACTAACAACTACTTTAAAACAGAAAAGCCTTTATTTTATTGTTCCAGTAAAATACAGCAGATTCTCATAATTCACCTCACGTCAGTAATAAAACTAATAATGATAGAACATTGAATCGCCTCACACAGATTGTGCTGCATAGGACAATTATAAAGAATCTGCTTTTCATGCTGCACACTTCACTCTTATATGAAAATCAAACCGCACTTGAAAATGTATATTTATACACGTCCTCACACAGTTTTGCCCGGGGACTCACGGCGGCATTGACGCTCTCTTGCCCTCCACTGATAAACACGACCCACTGCACTCAGTCAAAGCCTTAAATGAGTTTTTCATTTTGGGGTCTTTTTCCTCCATGGTTCACTAATGCTCTGAAGATTAACCCAGTGACCCTGAAGAATTAGCTGTGAATGACTGAAGGGAGATTGGGCAGGAGCTGGAGGACACAAGAAAAACAATATGTGTGGGGGATTGAATCGTATTTTGGGTACAAATGTGTTACTTAAAGTAAAGTAAAGTGACAAGACACTTCATTTGCCATCTGGCACTGTGACCGGCTAATGATTTGTTGGGGTACCCTGACATTTTAGTGCTAAAAGTGATTTTCATTCTGATCTTGCTGTTTTCTTCCTCTTCTTCCTCGTCCTCCTCCACGTCCTTCGCCCTATAGCCCTGTCCTCCCTCGCCTAGCCATCTGGTGGGGCCTGGTGTGTTTGCACAAGGCTCGGTCTTCTGGAATGTCAACATGAGGCTTTGTGTGAAGCCAGAGGAGCCCACAACCACTGGAGATAAGACCCCAACCCCAGGAGAGGAGGAGGGGTCAGAGGGTGGGAGGCCGCGGTGGGCGTCAGTTTAGAGGGTGACTCAAAGTTTAACAAAGCTGCCAAGTAACCACGGTGCCCAAGGATTAATCCTGAACGTAACATTCTCACCCCTCAGCAAACTCCAGCTTTGCTGATAATAAGTGAGGCTCTTACAAGGAAACCAGAATCTCATTTCTGGGTTGAAGACATCTGTGCTCCCCATTATGTTAAACATATTGTTTTTCCTGCATTTGAAGCAGGTATTTCACTAAACTCTTTGCCATTTGACCAATCAGGTCAGAGTATGAATCTGTCAAGGCATTTGCATTGGGTAGCAGATAATGAATGGTTCACCACCAGGTCAGTGCTCACGAGAGGGAGGGCTCTGCTTGTGTTTGATTAAGTGCACGACACCGTGTCTGTATCTGCATGGAAGGATAAACAAATGGAGTGTGTGTTTGTGGTCTCGACTCCTGTGTATGTGCGAGTGAGGTTCGCTTGCCCTTAGGATCCTTATTCACTAATGGCGCAATTGTGTCTGAGCAATTGTAATTCACAGACTCCACTTCCAGTTAGTTTATATGCTGACTTAGCTCCATCTGAAAGTCTGAGGTAACGGCTCTTGGATTAGAATCAACGTAAAAAACAGAGTTGAAGCCAGAACTGAAGAACTAACATCCCTGAGTAGAGTTTAGACTGATTTTATTTGTTAACTGAGAGAATAATGTGTCTCACTTAATAGTGTTTAGTCAGATTTAAGTAGGTTGAATACTGCACAGTCGACTAAACACTGGTGAGGTGTGTCACACTGAGCTAACATGACATGCTTTACAGCTCTGGGTGTGTTCTGTAAATGAACTCGTCATAACGCTCCCTGCCCAGTTGTGCCAATCACAACACTCACCCCATCACTCGGCCCTACTCCCCAGTGTCTTGTCCTGCAGTGATGATGTCACTGGTGACATCAAAAGCCATAAACCCTGACGCATGCGGTTGATATCCCGCCAACGTGTCAAACATGGGTTTTCCAATGGTGTGATTTTCAATTCTCTGCACAAACAAAATGCCTCATGTGGTTAAGATTAATTTGGGCTCATGGCGAGGAATGTGACAGATCTGTGTGTCATGAGAAACTGAAATGAATGCAGGAGAGATAGAGATATCTGACTTTTATGCATATCAAAAATGTCTGTTATCAGGCCTGCTATTAGGGCCACTTAAATGGGGAAAACTGTGAGATAACGAGAAGTGAAGCAGTAAAGTCCTACCATTAAAAAGGAACAAGTGATAGCACTGCAAGATTGATGTGATAATAAGGGGGAAAAAAAGGAAATTTACAAAAATAAAGTCATAATATTAAGAGAATTAAGTTGTAATTTTAGGCTATATGTCATGAAGGGGAATATCAGAAGATCAGCCTGTTGCCTGCATTAACATGAGGAATGTGGAGCATCTTGTTAAGTTATACTTTAGTAAAAGTTTCACAAACAAAATACTTAATCATCACATGGGCTTGACAGAGTCAGTTCAAGATTTTGGATCCAGATTGAGTGAAACTCGGTTGAGCATAGGTTCTCATTGGTGGTCATTTAATATATTATGAGCTTTTTCTCATTAAATTATAACTTAATTCTCATAATATCACAACTTCCTTCACAGTTACAACTTTAATCGTGTAATATTGCAATTTCTTCTCGATTATTACTTCATTCTTTTAATAATTTGACATTATTCTATGGCCCTAAAACTCCATCTTAGCTCTGCCTAGTAAATGCCAGTATCTTTCAAACCTTCCCCACTTTGTAAAGAGCCACAGATCACATCATCAATCTGTTTTCAGAAGGGAGAAAACCACTCCATGTGACCACCTGATTTTTAAATTCACAAATCTGTTGCAGTGACTGATATTCAAGGTGTTTGTGGTTTTAAAACACTTTTACTAATTTCTGCCTTAAAATAGTGGCTGTTGAATTAATTTAAAGTATATTCACAATATGCATCCATTGGGCTTCATTTCATGACAGCAGTTATTTATTTATTTGTTGGACATTGTCAGTTTTACTCTCGTTGCTGGATCAAGCCAGGATCACAGTGGAGACTCCAGCCCAGTTTATTGACATTATTTTGTTCCTTGCAATTGTTTCTAGAGAGAGTTAAGAAGAGCAAACAGCAAAGTCAGAGGAAATATGCGAGGCCAAGTTCAGAGATAAACTGCAGCTCTGTCCTCTCGCACGCTCAGCTGAACTAAAGGCCCAGCGTATTACTGGAGCACAGAGAGGTGGAGTAACAAGAGTCTGCTGGCCTCCATGTCAGGAGACAGACTGGATGGAAATGTATGCCAGTGTACACGCAGCACAGTTACCCACTCCAGCACCATTACTGTCACGAGTAAACACAGACCCAGGCCAATAAAAGAGGCTTGTTAAAAAAAAAAAAGAGTGCCCATAAATGATGTTTAATTGAAACTGTTCAGGAGTACAGTTTGTCAGAGCTACGGCTCTCAGGGGTCCAAACACACACCAGTGTTTGGGGAGGGGGAGGTAGAAAAGGAGGGGGGGGCAGGGAGTGAAAGAAGGGAGGTAAGGATTGATTGGAAAGGGAGGTTACGAGTGTTTTATTCTCCAATAGTGAAAGTAAAGGAGAAATTTGTCAAATGTATGATTTGGACCCATAAGAGTCTTTTTATCTAACTTTAAATGATTCAGTGCAATGAATATCTTCCTAGTTACACATAACACAACAGTCTCCTGACATTTCTAGGTCTAAGTAGTTATGTGTTCCCATCAGCGTCAGGGAGGAAAAGTTTACATATCCTCAGCTGCAAAAGCTGGCGCCTACCTTTGTCAGGTGGACTTTTTTTCACAATCCGAATGACGAATGATCACCATGACAATGCCATGGTGACAGACGGGGGCGCATAAATCACATGGGAAATAAATCACCATCACACGACCTCCCCTCCTCCCCTTCATTTACCTGCATCACTCTTTCCAACTAACAAGAGGTGCACTGTTTCTCCAAATGCCTACGCACTTCACTCACCTTCACCCAGAAACTCACCCCCTCCATTCAATTCATCAATTTCAACTATGCTTTCAACATTTTGTTGGTTCTTTGCTGCCTGTGTTTGTGTCTCCTGACTCCCCCTTCCCACCCTCTCACCCCTGGTCAATCATAAGCCCCTAACCCCCTCTTTGACTAGAAGGGCTGGAGTGATTGTGTGCTGATGACAGTTTGGGGGCAGGTAAAGGGAAACTCTCTCTCTTTCCCTCTCTCTCTCTTGCTACATCCACACTGCAACTTTTCATTTCAAAACTCCCTCAACAGATACGCCTGGTGGCCACACTACTTCAGAGTTTAAGAACCAGAGAGATCTGAGATCCGTTTGAAAAC